CGGCGCGCGGAGGGGCGGGGCTCGGCCGGGGCGGTGTGCCCTCCGCGGCGCGTTGGCGTCTGCTGCGCATGCGCGTACCGAAGTGTCCGGAAGGAGAAACATGGGCGTGGCCGAAGGGGGGCGGGATCTGTGTGACCCTGACTACAATGGCAAGGTCAGAGAAAGGGAAAATTGACAAGCTCCTTCCTTAAGCTTCGCCTCGCACTTGCCCTGTGGGCATCATTAAAGTAAACTTCGATGGGTGTCGCGCCCGGAGTCCTGAAGGTTTGCTGGCCGAAGAACACTAGCTAATTCTGACATCGTGTCCCGCTTGCTCTCTCACGGTCATTCATTCAATGAATGTCATCAGAAACGCCTCCTGGCACTACTCTAACTTCACCTGCTTATTTCCTTTTTTCTTTTCTTTTTTTTTTTCCTTTGGTACTGAGATTGAACCCAGGACCTTTGCACTGAGCTACATCTCCAGCTCCTTTTTAGTTTTTGAGACAGGGTCTTGGTAAGTTGCTAACTTGTCCAGGCTGGGCTTGAATTTAGGATCCTCCTGCCTCAGCCTCCCAAGAGCATTCTGCCTTGGGGCTGGGAATTTAGCTCAGCGGCAAAAGCGCCTGCCTAGCATTCTGCCTCATCACCCTGGGATGACAAGTATGCACCTGCATACGCAGCCTCTCCCCTACTTCATGCCCTTCTCCCTACCGCCAGCCCTGTCTGACCTGTCCCCTGCCTGCTTTGAGCTCCTGAGTGCAGGAGCCACACTGCCTCGGTCACAGGTGTAATCCCATGGCCGGGCACCCAATAGCTGCTCTGCAAGTACTCACGGCACAAGGGTAGTGACTTCAGCGGCGACCAGGCTGCAGGCTGTGGGAGAAAAACTGGGAAAAGGTCTGGTCCCTGCCTTCCCCCTTGAACTCAGGTTGGACATCAAACAGCACTTCTGATCAGGCGCGTGGGAAGGGAGAACGGATGGAAGCCTTGCTTTGGATCAGCTTCACCTTTCGATCCATTTGTCTGTGCCCTCTGATTTTCCTGCATTATCAGCATCTAAGGACAGCACCGCTGCTTCTCTCCCGGGGCGATACGAGCAGTAAGGGTGCTCTGCATGCAAGAGGGTGCTTGCTCTAGCCAGGAGATTACGGTAACAGTATGTCTCCTCCATCTTTTGGGGGGATGTCCTGGGAATCAAACTCAGGACCTCACGCTTGCCAGACAGGCACTGCGCCACTGAGCTAAATCCCTGGGAAAACTGGACTGCAATGGCAGCTGACGGGTCCCTTTGCATCAGCACTGCCCTGTCCCAAGCCCTGGGCCGGGGGACACCGGGAGGCTCTGAAGCCCAGGACCTGCTGTATATGCAGCCTCTGCCATCAGTGACTAAGTGCCCCCAAGCAGGGGATACTGCCTCGAGACATAGACAGAAGAGTGTAGCAATCCCTGCCTCCTGACCGTGCTAGGATGGGACAGGATGCTACCCAGCCCAGCACAGAGCAACTGTAACAGAAAAGAGAAGAAAGAAAAATACATAAAATGGCAGCATTTGGAATTATGAGGGGCTGGGGATGTAGCTCAGTGGCACAGCGCCTGCCTGGCAAGGACAAGGTCAAGTTCAATTCCCGGTACCGGAAAACAAACAAACAAACAAACAAAAAAAGAATTATGAGAAATTTACAGGTTTCTAGTTATCTGTTTTTATTTTGTGTGTGTGTTGTACTTGGGAACGAACCCTGGGACCTCTGCACTGAGCTATGTTCCCAGCCCTTTACACTGAAACGGATTCTTGCTAAATTGCCTGAACTTGCTTTTTTTTTTTTTTTTTTGGAACCGGGAATTGAACTCAGGACCTTGCACTTGCCAGGCAGGCACTTGTGCCCCTGAGCTATACCCCCGGCCTTCCCTGAACTTGCAACCCTTCTGCCTCAGCATCACAAGCGGCTGCTTGTGCTGTTGTGTCTGGTGATTTGTAAGTTGCTTTTAACTAAATCCAGAAACTTTTCAGACATCACAGTCAACGACAGAGATTAGTTGAGGATTTGTGCATTGCTGGCATCGAAAAATCTCCGTTCTTGCTGGGCATGGTAACCCACACCTGTCATCCTAACATTTGGGAAGCTGAGGCAGGAGGATCACTGTGAATTTGAGGCCAGTCTGAACTATATAACGAGACTCTGTCTCAAAAATTAAAAAAAAAAAAAAAAAGTATCACATCTGAAAAGTACCTTTAACCACACGGAGTTTTTGGCCCAAGTGTCCCTAGTGCTGAGGTTGAAATGCCCAATACAAAAGCACCTACTCTTTTTTTTTCCTGGTTTCTTTTTTTCTGTTGATCCAACCCCCCACCCCATTTGCTTCCTCCCAGAGGATTGGTGTACACTGGGTGACTTTTGGAAGCACAGATGCCGGCCTCGGCTGGCAGAGAGAAGCAGAATCTCAGGGCAGGAGGTCGGACAGAGAAGAGCATGTCACAGCCTGCAGGGGCCAGGCCACATGGCTCTTCCTGGAAGAGAAGAAGCCATCCTCAGCCTTCTGCTGTGCTACTCCCAGTGCTCCAGAGAGCACAGAGGTAGGTTTTTGCAGGGCAAGCTTGCCTGTTAGGGAAAGGGTTTTCTTGTTCAAGAATATTCATCATATGCATGCATTAAAGTACACTTTGTACCTCATAAATACGTACAATTTGTGTCTTTTTTCAAACAGAATTGACTTTGTCCTTGATTGCTTAACTTTTTTTTTTTTTTCTTTTGAGACAGAGTCTTGCTATGTAGTT